AAAAATCTGCTCAAGAGGCCCCTATTTATAGTAGTCCACATAAAAGTGGCTTTGTACTTTAGTGGTTTTATGAGGGCATCTTAAAACATATAAAAGATGGAGTTAATTTTAGAAGCTAAAAGTATAGTGGCCAGATGAAGAGATCCACAAAGTTATGATGGTATCCAGACATTATATGATACATGGTATTTAATTGTAGGCATCAATTTGAAACACGAAATACTATCTTGATGTGCTAGGAAAGAGAGATCAGATGATGAAACATCTGAAACCCATCTCATAATAGGAATGGTGAAGGAACTACAGATGCTTTGCATAGAAAATAGAAGACTAAGGAGAAAAAAGGCAGGTAGCTTTTGTATCAATATAAGGAAGACTTTTCTTGTAATTAGAGCTACTCAATAATGAAAGTGAGGTTTCTGTGTAGTTTAATCAGAGTGTGACTGACAGTGTGTGTGTGTTTCAGGGAAGTAGACTAGAAAGAGATTGAACTGGGACCTCCCTTAGTCTTTCTGCCTTAATTGCCTTAATTTGCCTGCCTGCCTGCCTTTTTCTTTCCTCCTCTCCTCCTCTCCTCTTCTTTCTTCCTTTCCTTTCCTTTTCTTTCTCTCTCTCCTTTCCTCCCTTCCTCCTTCTTTCCTTTTTTCCTTTCTTCTCTCTATCAAAGGGTAGTGTAGTTTTAAACACTGAATAAAAATGATTTGAATCACAGATATACTACCAAATACGTTTTATTATCTTGGGCAGGTCAGTTGCCTTCTCTGGGTTTAAATTTGTCATGTACAAATCGTGGCCTAGGGTCTTTACAGCCTATTTTAGTTCTAATATTCTCTGACCATATAAATGTAGACATATTGACAAACTCTACGTCTACTCATTATGAAGAATCATTACAATTATAGGCTTTTAGAGCTGAAAAGCATTTAGTCAACCTCCACACAAGTAATTACATTATACATATTATTGTTTCTACACTGAATTGCTAGTAAATAATTTCAATAAATCCTTCTTTTAAATGCTGTATATATTGTGTAAAGGTGTTTTTTTTTTTTTTTTTTTTTTTTTTTTTTTTTACTACCCTTGAATGAACAAATGTGACTCAAGCAGAAATGCTCTGGGAACATCCTGCTGAGCTTCCTTCTTCTGGCCATACAGTCTGCATACACAATTAACCTTCCCTTAATTAGATTAAATTGTTCTTTACCTGGGATTGTCAAATTAATACTGTAATCAAAGATCTCTATTAGACACCTGAATATGTTCCTGCTATGTGTAATGCTAATTACTTCTTTACTAAAAGTAACTAAAAACAGGCTCACTTAATGGTATGCCTTAGTTAGAAGATCTGGTTTATGTCTCCAAACTAGTGCTACTCAGAACTTTACAATTCTTAAAATCATCTAAAGAAACCTCAGTATTTCTGATTTTCTTAATTGTTGAAATTCAAAGATTTAATAAAATTTCAGGCTACTCCTACTTACATGAAAACATTTATAAGCATTGGCACTGGTCCTTATATTAAAACATGATACTGCATAGCATTTAATCTAATGTTATTTACAACAAATTAAATTGCCCTTGCCAAAATAAACAAAGCATTTGGCTATAGAACCCACAGTATTGTTATGTTCACCCCACATATTTCCAAATGCAGACATTTTAACAGTTTCTGGCTAGCATTAACTTGATCCAATTATGAAAAGTGACACTGATGATTACACGACAAAGACAGCTCCCCTAACCAAACTGACTAAACTTGGTCAATGTCCCCAAGGCAAAATGCTATGAACCATTAGCTGTAGACTAGTATATTCAGCATCAACAGTATTTTAAATACCCTCTAACATTCTCAATCAGCCATTGATTAAGTGTCCAAGGTTTCAATGTTTAGACATTGTGGGAAATACAAAGATGAACAAAAAGACATACACCCTCCTTTTAAAAAGTTTACAGTCATGGACACTTAAGGAGGAACCGGCAGGATAATGGAAATCTGATTCTTTTGCCATCTAGTTAGATGGTTTTTATTCTCTCAATCAGGAACCATCTCAAAATAAAGTAATGATTGAGGTCTCTGAGGTTTCACCTGGGTTTGAATTTTTGTGTGATGTGGGAAGAGATTTTGTTTTTCTAGCTCTCAGGTCCCTCATTCTAACATGGAGATCAAGTACAGACCTCAGAGGTTTTCTGTGAGGAGTAAATGGCGTATATGTACAATGTTTTTTGCACATAATATGCATATCAAAAATAAATGTTAAAATATTTAAGAGATGAAGGATACATTAAACAAGAAAGCTTTTTTTTTTTTGGCAAGAGTGAAAAGTTAAATATTTTGTGTTATAGTTTGATTGTTACATTTAGGACTGATGTATAACACTCAGGTACTACAAAAGGAAAGAATTTCTTCTTTCTTTCAGGCAATGCCCTATAACAACTAGCTCACTAACCAGTGATCTTAAATAAGTGGAGGAAAAGACAATTTAGGAAATACTGATGAAATCTAATACCCTAAATAAAGTGTATTGAGCTTCACCCAAGTTTTTGACAACATGTTTTACAAATTTTTGTAGACAATATGAAGAAGATGGAACTAAAAAGAGCCAGGTCGATTTAAGTGCCAAAAATCATAAAAAAGACATTGGAATATGTAAATATTAATTTGTAAATCACTTTTAGACTTGGCTCAGAGTTCTGTCTTTGGTAGAGTAAAAATACCATAGAATTTGAAAGTCAGAAAGGTTTAGGTTGGAGTTCTTGCTCTAACTCATTAGCTGTGAGAGACCTTTGCCTCCTTGGCCATCAGTTTCTTTTGTAATGGGATAATATGAAGATAACATAGAAAGTCATTCCCTTTATGCTTGGCACATACTAAGGGCTCAACAAATGATATCAATAATAATCATTGTTATTTTTACCTTAATTTTATTTTTGTAATGAGATGAAGGTGATTATGGTATCTTGTTTTCATTTTTACTCACTTTGAAAATACAGGCAGATAATAAAGGCTTTTCTCTAGGTAGGTACATATGTTTTTTCTGACTGTGTTCTATGATTCAAGCATCTATCCTGTTTTGAGAAGGTGAACTACTAAAATGTGTTGCCTGCTTCCATTTTCAAACATGCCTATGTGTGAGCAGACAGGTTCCTGATGCTCTAAATTTTAATAAAAATAACAATAATTACATCTACAGACACATTCATATACCTCCTACTATATCAAATACTATTCACCAAAGCAGCTTTCATATATGAACTCATTTAATCTTCACAATAGCCACCAGAAATATACTTATTATCTTTACTTTACAAATGAGAAATCTCAGACACAAATTTGTGTAGTTTGCTTAATATCAAATGGCTAATAAGTAGCAGACAATCCAGGCAAATGTAAGTCTAGAATCTATGAAATTTGCTCCTTATAATAGAATTGTTCTGTCTTGAAGAAACAATGTCATTAATGGAAGCATATTTGAAATATTTCTATTAGCACTAGATCAGACAGAAATAGAACTAAAAAGAAAACAGGAACATCATTTGTATCACTAGTTCTATGGAAATAAGTACTTTGGACTCCCAAACAACTGTTTTTTAAATGAACACTGGAAGATAATGTGCTTGGAAAATGGAAACTGATTCTATACAAATTGCTGAAACATAAAGCAGAATGAGTAGTATTGTAAGAGTCATGAATGAAGACACAGAGGAATTCAGAAGAAGAACACATCAATTTGACTGGGGGTATCCAAGAAAGCTTTTTGGGGAAGGTGAACTGAATCTTAATATATAAAACTGAACAATGATGAACCACCATGGAAACAGGTTGAAAGCCTGAAATAAATTTACTACAATCTTCATTATCTCTTATTTGTTTGTTGGGTTATCATCTTATTTGACTTCAATGGTACCGTGATTTCTAAAGGACCTTTGTGTACCTTCTCTATAGGCTGATATTTCCATTTTCTTAGAGTCATAAGATACATCAACCCCAAAATAAGATCAATAGGGGATAGGGATGGTGATATTCTTTTCTTTAAATTGAGGATGCAAAATTTTAGCAGATAAGAAATTTGAGCGTGCTAAGGAACTTTTAAACCTCATAAACTTTATTTAGAAAGTTTGTATTTAGAAACATTGATTTTAAACCGTTTAAGTTTATCTTATTATTCATCACAAGTTTATTATTAGATAATAGTCTCTGAATGACAAGCCAATAGATCAAATATCTCAGAGAAAGAAGATGGGAATTGTTTATTTCAAAGAATTATCTTTGTAGGATTAGAAACACAATATTAAAGTGCAATGGGTGAGAAAAAAATGTACTTGGCAGAGGATTTTAAACACAAGGTATTATTATGATAGATGAAATGTTTATATTAGAGAATGGATATGTAACGAAACAAAGCTGTGTTAATAGCAAAAATTTTGTCACAAGGTAGTGAGAACTGAATGCATTAAATCACAACCTGTTATTGTTTAACAAAGATTAGACTTTAAAAAATTCGCTAATCTACTCACTAATCTGTTTTCTCACTTTATTCCCTCATTAACAATAAATAGCTTTGTAGCTTCCAGAAGAGCCAAAACAAAGCATGTAGGCGAGGCCACCGCCAAGGGCTAATAATTTCATAGCAGCAGCAGCTAAATTCAATCAACATTTAAATCTATAGGCATCTGCTGCTTCAATTCAGAACTTTAACCCATTGTTAGATTTCCCCCACGTTCAGGCCTAACATCATATATAATTCAGAACTGAAAAATAAATCTCTCATTGACAGATTTCCTAGTTATTCTATTGTTATTAATACTTTATAATTTTGTTTATAAAGGAAAATCTATAGTAAAGAATAACATGATATTAGGTGAACAGAGTAAAATGTTTGAGTATTTTATCCACCCATCTATTCTAACCAATATTCGTTGAGTCGAACTATACATCAGTTACTGTACTAAGTATTAGGACCCAAAGAAGCGAAAGGATTAAAATGTAGTCGTGGACTCACCTTGTGTTAGCCACTGTAGGTGTTTTCAGACACAGTCCCTGGCCTCAAGAAGTTCAAAACCTAATTATAAAGATAGAAAGTAACAATTATTTGAAAAATACTTTAATCCCTACATTATCTTTCAGATATATGCTGGCACCCCATTTTTTAGTGGGGATTGAGACAGAGGAGAAAAAGCAAGCTAGTTAATGAGAAACTGGTATCAATTTTATGAAATACAATCTTTAATTGAAGTAGTGAAATGCCAAAAACCAACAAGGAAATCTCTATTGTTCACAGGCTATAAAGCAGAATATTGACTATTCTTTAAAATGTTGAATTGAGACTAACATGTCCACCATAAAACGGCTAAATTGCCTTCTTACAACATCAGTTTCATTAAGTCCAATAAACATCTTGGTTTGTTCCTTCCTACAATTACATAACACATTTCAGAAAATCCATCCTTTGGTCTTTAAATAAAGAATGTCCCTAAGTTGTTAAGGGGAGCACTTAAACCTTGGCAGCCAAGTTAAAACAAATCCTTGTCTATCCTACTCACTCTGGGACAAATCTGCATGGAAAATTCCAGCTTATAAGCATTACATTTATGTTTAAGAATTTCATAATTAATTTAACAAGATTCACACCTCTGAGACATATAAAAAGGCACAATGTCTTAATTTCTCAACAGAATCATTTGCATAAGATTTGAAGTCTACCTTAATGATTCATTTTTGTATTGTTTGTTTTCACAATTGCTTTATTTTCTTTAGCACATTTTTTTCTCAACTCTTTTTAACATATTAAACTCTTAGTCCCCCTTCAATTCCCAGCGAAGTTGTCATCTCGTAGGGCAAGATTTTTGACATCCTGCCCCTCTAAGTTTTAGTTAGATGAATCTCCTAAATGCTCCAACAAGCTCTGCATCCTTCCCTATCACACGTTATCACATCACCCTGTGTTGGAGAAAGTGGCTAGCTGTTCACCAAAACATTTCCCTTTTCCTCCTGTTACATAGCCAAACTACATTTTGTAGTTAGATGTGACTGCATTCCTCACCATGGAATACAGTCTTAAGACCATCTTGCATATGATCCTCATTCTATGTTTCTTACCTATAGGTTAAATCCTTAAGGACCTGAAGGAGGAAAGGTCCAAAAGATGAAAAGAACACGATTCTCCAGCCACAGCTTTCAGGATCACCCCTCACTTCCACTAATAAGGTCTATTCACACTACAGTGTTATATAGATGACCGTTCGTCACCTCACCCTGACTAGGACATCTATTGGCACTGCGTTTTATGTAAATGAGAATTAAATTTCTGTTCTTTAAGCCATTAAAAGGGTGGGTGTTTATTACAGCACTTAGCCTGTTTGGTTTGTTAGATTTCCCTCATTAGATTGTAAACTACGGTACCCTGTGGATACAGCAACTAGTTTTGTCTTGTTTGAGGTTTTAGCTGAGCCCTTGAAACAGAAAATAGCATACACTTACCATCCCTCACTCTGGTTTTTAAAATATCTTGAATCTTATGTGATAAGATGTATCATGAAAATTTCATAGGAACTATTATTCTAAATACAGTTATTCCTTTGGGAATAGGGAACATAAGGCTTCATTTAGCATGGGTTCCAAAATATCTTTTGGTAAATACCTAAAGGTAAAATTTGATTTTGCTTAAGAGCTCACAGCAAGTAGAACACATCAAAATATGTTTGTAAAACTGTTCTTATAGGCCTCTATTTGCAGGCTTTCAGTAAGACGCTGAGAGCATTGCACAACCTTAGTCAGAAGTAATGGGCTTGGAAGCTCCTTGCTGCAGTCGTGGTGATTTGGAATGTCCTTTGACCCTCTACTGGGATTTAATGCCAATGGAGAGAAAATGAAAGGTAATTTTCTTTCCTTTTCAAAACAATAACCAATCACAGAATCCAAGACCTTCTGCTCTTCTCATATTACAATGAAACAGCTTTTGAAGTCTAGACAAAAATAGAGACATCTGACAAGCAATATCAAATCTCAGTCAGCATGCCTCCATGTATTCATTACTGACACTTGTCTTCCTTTCCCCTAGAGTCAAACACACTCTATTCAATGATTCCTTTTAGGCAACCAACCACCTGTTTGGGGCCACTTCCTAAAGGTCTCTCCATAAGTCTCACCCATCTGTCTCTCTTTACTATTTTCCACTTGCTGGTTAAGTTTAGTCTTGCTTGGCAGAACTCAACTTTCAGAGATTTACCTCCTTTACTTTCAGCACTGCTTAAGCAAGGGACTTTAGTGGAGATGATCAGATCTCCTGGCTTCCTTTCTGAGGAAAGAAGAGAAAACTTTTGCTGCTAGACATGCAACTGCGTTTTGACCTGAAGTAGAAAATCCTCAGTCTCTATTCCATTACTCATTTAGATGATTGCTGAATGGCACCTTTAGGCTAGATTTTATGGTTGATTTAATAAATTTGTAGTTCACTCACATTAATGTCAAGATATATTAATAAAGCATTTCTCTAGTGTCAGGCAAACATGCGTTGAATTTACTAGTCGAAGACATTTCTTACAGGTTTTCATAGACAATTTTATACTAAATTTTTTTTGTGTGTGGTTTGCCTCTCAGCCACAACTGCCTTTCTTTTCAGAGTACAAATATCAGTCTAGTTATCTGTCGATCCGGTAGAGGAGACAACAGAAACTATTTAACATCAGTGAGAAATAGAAAAAAAATGTAATCCTTTCTAAGCCATGCATAATGTCTAGGTCAACTGAGCTTTCTCCACTGTGATTAAAAACAGCAAATTATTAAGAAGTCCCTTTTTTTTTTTTCTGGAGATTGAGAAAAAATAGATGATAAATTCTCATGAACAGAACAAAATGGATTTTCAGCAAGTAATTTGGCTGAAGAAGGCAGACCCCAGTTCATGGAACGTGCTCAATTTGGAGGAGAGAAAGAAATGAACAAGGAGGGAATAACGATAAGGGTTCTTTCATTTCCCAGCTGTCTGCCAAAATTCCGACTGGTTGTTACGACTGAGGAAACTGTAAGAGCTGAAGTTCATAACTTTAAAGGGAAGGTCTGTCCATGCTGGGGCACAATCTGACAAGGTACAGTTTCTAGTATTTGTATATGTTTGTGAAGCCTGGGCAACATGGCAAGACCCCATCTCTACAAAAAATACAGAAAGCTAGCTGGGCATTGTGGCATGCACTTGTAGTCCCAGCTAGTCAGGAGACTAAGGTGGGAAGATCAATTGAGCTCTAGAGATCAAGGGTGCAGTGAGCTGTAATGATACCACTGCACTCCATCCTGGACAACAAAACAAGACTCTCTCTCTCTCTCTCTCTCACACACACACACACACACACAGACACACACGTATCCTAATGCATATGTGTGTATGCATGAAAAGTTTTGAAGGCTTCAATTCACTTTGGTCATAAACCCAGTTTTCCACCTTCACAGAAATAACAAACATTTCAGAAATAGCCTTTCATTTAGTGTATCTTCCATTAAAAGAGTATAATCTTCTATTTTCTAACTGAAATTATCTAGATGATATATATTGTATATTCTTACACAAAAAATATTTGGATTTGCTCAGAATAATTTTTTAATTTACTATATGGCATCCCTTCTGTCATAAACTGAAATTTCCAAATGTTAATGTGACTCATGAGTATTTTATAAAATATAATAATTAAAATATTTCACACTTGAAAAAGGTATTTCAACAGAAACACTGAAATTTATTATACATAATATATAGCAATGATTTTCACTCTATTTAAACTAGAAAAAATTTACTTCCTATCAATTTTATTTCTGCTGCTAACCCTATTCCATGGCATCCCTCAAAATTCTGATTATCAAAATAACATGTAATTTTAAAACAGATTCTCATTAGTGCAAGCAACTGTGACTTTTTAAAGTAGCTTAAAATTACATATTAAAGAGATTTCATTAGGGAGCTTTCATTCTCTTTCATTTAGAATTGTTTGCACATACTTCTCATTAGTCATTGTACTCAAATTTTCAGATTCAAGTATAAAGATAGTCCTTTGCATTACCTTAAACACCAGGTAAGCAAAATTCCAGGAAAAAATAGGTTTTGAAATACCTAAAGGTACCTGTCTTATGAGACTGTCAAGTCCCTTTTTCATGTGCAGTTTGTACAATAGAAAGCCAAGACAGATGAATAAGAGAGTGTGATTTTAAGCTTTGCTTGGCAAACATGTTAGATTTCTTAAGTGGCACAGCTTGTCTTCCTTCCCTCCCTCCGTGCTTCTCTCTCTTTCCCTCTCTCTCTCTCTCAACCTTGTTCTAATGGCATTCCCTATAGGTTTCTTGTGAAATAGATTGATTTGGAGCGGTGTTAACAACAACAACAACAACAACAAATACTACTGCAACCCACATTGCAGCTAACAATATATAAAATAGCAAATAAATTGTACCTCTCATGACTAAAGAATGAGAGGATTTTTTTGGGGTGTTGTGTTATGTTGTGTGTGTGTTTGTGTATGTATGTGTGTTTCCATGTGACACCATTAAAAGAACAAGCAGGACTTCTTGGAAACCTGAATCCTTTTGTCCCAAGTAAATTAAGAGATAATTTAAATTAAAAAAAATCAAAATATAATGCGCTTATGGAAAAGTACATAAGTAATGAATCATACAAAAGAAACATCAGGGTAAACATCACCCACGTCAAGATATAGAACATTTCTAGTAATACAGACTTCACGCTTACTCCAAACTTACTTTTTCCTCCTCACTACAGGTAAACAAACACTATCTTGACTTCTAACCTATAGTTTAGAGCTGCCTTGAACCTTATGTAAATGTAATCAAGTATTACATGTTATTTTGTGTCTGCCTTCTTTCTTTAACATTAAGGTTGTTGGTTACATTCACGTTATAATTTGTCAAATATCTGAATATACAGTACCACATTTTATGTATCTATTCTATTGCTGATGGACATTGGGTCATTTCCAGTTTAAAGCAATTACAAATAATGCTGCAATAAACATCCTTGTAGATATTTCTTTGTATGCATGTTGTATATAACAAGGAGTGGAA